TTTCCCCCATAACCTTTGTTGAAAAGACTGTCCTTTCTCTATTTAATGGTCTTGGCACTCTTGTTGAAAACGATTATATATCTGAGAATTGATTTCTGGGCTTTCTGCTCTATTCCATTGTTCTGTATGTCTGTCCTTATGCCAGTATTACAGTTTTAGTTACTGTAGCTTTGTTGGAAGTTTTGAAGTTGAAAAACATGAGTCCTCCAGTCTTATTCTACTTTTTAAAGATTGTTTTAGCTATTTGGAGTCCTGTGTAATTTTATATGCATTCGAGGATTGGCTTTTCCATTTTGGTAAAATAGGCTATTAGAATTTTGATAGAGATTGTGTTGAATCTGTAGCTCACTTTGGGTAGTATTAACATCTTAATGCTAAGTCTTCCAATTAGTGAAATCGGATACCTTTCCATTTTTCAGATATTTATACATTTATTTTGCAGTGGTTTTTGGTTTTCAGTATACAAATTTTTTACCGCCTTGGTTAGATGTATTCCTAAGTTTTTAATTTGTTTAGCTGCTATTAAAGATGGAACTGCTTTCTCTATTTTTTTGTTCATTGCTAGTGTAAAAAAACAACTGAATTTTTTTTCGCATTGGTCTTACAGTCTATAACTTTGCTAAATTCATTTATTAGCTTTAGTAGCTTTCTTGTGATTTCTTTGGGATGCTTTACACATGTGATCATGTAATCTGCAAATGGAGATGGTGTTAGCTCTTCCTTTCCAATTTTATGCCCTTTACTTCTTTTTGTTGTCTAATAGTTTCACTAGAGCTCCTTGTACGATGTGAATGGCAGTGGTGAAAGCACGCACTGGGCCTTGGAATCAGATAGTCTGGTATAACTGCTATTGTTTTGTGATTAATTGAGCATACTGGAAGCAGATTAGATAAACCTAGGGGTTAAAATTCGTACTTCTTTAGGTTTTTCTGGACTCCAAGTTTTCCCTGACCTTGACCCAAGGTTGTTCTCCTCTAACCCTTTTCTTTTTCTGCGAACTTGCCTCATTAGTACTTATAAATGCGTTGATACCCATGAACTAGGAAGATCATGAGACACCAATGAAATCCTTTGCTTCCACTTCTACACCATTGAGATATTTTGGCTGTAGAACTCTAGGAAACAGTACTGGGAGAAAATAATTGACAGAAAACTAATGTAGAATAATAGTTTCTGCATTTCCTTTTACTCTCAAAGCAGGATAGGGGAGGGCATGGCTTCTAGGCCTCCCTATTAATCTGGTTGCTCTTTTCATCTTTGGCCATGGAAAATCTCCTCCTTGATCTTTGATTGGCCATCGAAATGTGTGCTCCACGCTATTCATTAATTTGATCTCCTCAAATACAGCTGCAATTCATTTCCTTTGAATTTTTCTTTCTTTGCTGCATTTCTTAGAATCAGACTCTATGTGTCTCAAGGTAGGAATCTTTTTATTCCATTGATAAATCTTTTGCTTGGTCATGTGTTGGTTATGGAATTTAAAACACCTAACCTTATAAAGGTATAAAGGCATTTTCACCTTTAAGCGGCTATAGTAATCATAAAAGAGGAGGAAATGACCTGTCAAGAATATCGTTTGTGTGTGTGTTTTTTTTTAAGATGGAGTCTGAAGTCTTGCCCTGTGGCCCAAGCCGGAGTGCAGAGGTATGATCTCAGCTCACCGCAACCTCTGCCTCCTGGGTTCAAGCGATTCTCCTGCCTCAGCCTCCTGAGTAGCTGGCATTACAGGCACCTGCTACTGAGCCCACCTAATTTTTTTTGTATTTTTAGGAGAAGCGGGATTTAATCATGTTGGTCAGGCTGGTATCAAACTCCTGACCTCGTGATCCGTCTGCCTCGGCCTCTCAAAGTGTTGGGATTACAGGTGTGAGCCACTGCACCAGGCCAAGAATACAGTGTCTTATATGCGTGATTTCACTTATCTTTCAGTGACCCGCAATGGAATCTTGTTCCTATTTTAGATGTGGGTCTTTTTAAAAGTGGCCTGGCTGGAATTTAAACCAAACTTTTGCTGATGTCAACATCTCATGCTCTTTCCTTGTATTTTCTGTGTTGAATTTGTATAGAAACAACTGATATCTGACTCCAGGTGATTCTGATGGTTAACTCCTTTACATCAACCTCATACAAACAAACTCAATGGCCAGCCAAGTGTAAGTTTATCAAACACGTGCTGTGGATAATCTAACTTTAATGTAAGAGGAAAACATTTTGATAAGTGGTTAGGACTCCAGATTATAAATTTGACATGGATCCTTGAAATTAGGTTGTATCACAGAGCAGAGGTCTTCAAACTTACTTGATTCATGGTACCCCTAGGCCAAAAGAAACAGCTAACCTTTCTGTTTAGGTAATTCTAACAACTGAAGAAGCATTTATATCTTACTATCTTATAAGAACTGTTTGAAAAAAAATAATACATATAACTTAAAGAAAAATATTTTATTTCATACTGATATTAGTTATTAATGGCAACTGTGCATCTGTTGGGAACAGCACCACTTCTCAAACCTTGGACCGTGATCACAATTTTCATTTCTTGTTCCATGTTGATTTTCACTTGATACTTGCTTTTTATCACATGAAAATCCAGTTTCATGGTACCATCAAAAAGATGGTAAAGTCTAATGTTGAAAACTGAACTATTTTAGCTCGTAGTTGGCCTGGTGTCTGACAGGTGTTGCTGTGTTTCCTTCAACAATTTAAAGTATCCCAGGGTGCTCCTGTGAATGTCCTGCAGCATCCTGAGGTGCCTTGGGGGCCCAGCAAGCCTTTTAGAAAATGGACATATTCATTTTTTTGTGTGTATTTAAGGTGAACATGTACTGATCCACATATACACAGCGAAATGGTTACTACAGTCAAGCAGTTTACCATACCCATCATCTCACACGGTTGCCTTTTTGATTGCTGCTGCAAGCCTTAACGATATCTTTTCTCCCTTTCTTTTTTCTCCCCTCCCTTCTCCTCGTCCCCTCCCTTCCTTCCTTTTTTCCTGTGTTTGTTTTATGACAAATCCTCTTGAAGCTTTATTTGTAACTCTGATTCTCCCTCCATGACATCTTATAATATACACTAAAATTTTCAACCTGGAGTGAAGTCAATAGAAGTAGTATATGTTTTGACTGAATGACATATGGAAATCTGATGTTTAGACACATTTTCCGAGCAACAAAGCAAAGTTTTTACCCAAGAGTTCTTCACATTCTCAAACTGACTATCTCATGCTTGATGAGCAGGGATGATAAGGAAGGAGGGAAATAAGGAAGAAAGGGGGAGGGGCGAAGAAACAGCTTGACTAGTAAATCTTTATTTAAAAAGTGTGCTGAGTACCATGCACATTTTTGGATCAGGATAACAGAGACTGAGGGGCTGAAGCGCCGCCACACCGAGCTGAGGCATCCGCATGATTGATCGTAAATGCGTATCTGTGGGCACGGGCCAAGTTTAAGTCAAACACGGTGCAGAGGAGCAGGAGGGTTTTCCTTGGAGGAGCATATGCTTTGGAGTCAGGCTGTGTCCCAGTCCTGCCTCTAAACTGAATAGCTCTTCGACTTCTGCACAGGTTACTGATGGGAATACAATACCAGTCTCAGAATGTTTTCTTTGGGACTGATGAACACCTTTTAAGTGCAAATTACGACACCCAGCTCCTTTGAGTTTAGACAGTTAATGGTTGTCAATAGTATCATCATTATTAGGAATGACTTGTGGAAGAGAAACAGCAGAGGCAAGGTCTGCTGAAGAATACTGAAGTTACAAGGAGAAAAAATAGTTGGGGGAATGGCAGAGTTCAAGTGCTGGTGGGGATGTAAATCGGTTCAACCACTTGAGAAAACCACTCGGCAGCATCGAAGCTGAACATATGCAAATCCTGTGACCCAGCAATTCCACTCCTAGGCATGTACTCATCACATAAATGCTTAACACAACCTGTTTAGGGCAGCAGCATTCATAATAGACAAAAATTTAGAAACAAATGCAGAACGAATAAGACAATGTGGTATACTGATACACTGAAATACTGTTCAGCAGTTACTGTGAATTAATTGCGGCTACACACAGTAATCTGGATGTATCTCGCAATCACTGCTGAACAAAAGAAGGTAGAAACCATGCATACTACGTGATTCCTCTTATAGAAAGTTCAGAAACAGGCAAATCCATCTGTGATGTTAGAAATAAGGATACTGGTTACTTCTTCGGGGACAGACTTAATGGCTGGGAGGGTGCATGGGGAGCCTGCTGGTGCTGGCCACAGTGTGTGCTCAGTTTTTAAAAAGCCCTGTATCCCTATGATTTATGTCGATTTTGTATGTATATTTTATTCTAACAAAGAGTTTAAGAAAAAAATGCGCCAAACACTGAAAAGATCTCTTCATAGCTTTCCTTCTCAGCAGAGAAGTACAGACAGACACACACAGACACACACAGCCCTTGATACTAATACAAAGCACACAAAGAAAACATAACAATTACATTTATAACCTGCAGGTCAAGCATCCTATCACGGCTGACACTATGTATGAATCAGGCTATGCTGTGGCTACAACCCTCAGATGCCAGCGGCTTCACACAACCAAAGTACATTTCTGGCTCCTAATGCTTGTCTAGCACACGCTGGCCAGGGGCCCTACTCATTGCACGAACTCAGGGACTCAGGGACAGGAAGCTTCATTCCCATGTACAAGTCCAGGATCACCACAGCAGTGGGAAGAGCACAGGGTAAACTGTACATCAGCTCTGAACATGTCTGCCCCGAAGAAGAACATGACCCCTCCGCTCACATTTCACCTGCTAAAATAAGCCACGTGGGCATGCCTAACTTCAGCAGGGCGGGAGAAGTGCAGCGGCACTGTGGGCAGGAAGGAGACGCGTGGGAAAAGTAACAGCTCTACTGATGACCACGCTTCCTCCGGTGGTTCCCACACTCAGCCCCATTCAGGGTCCAGGGCATAAGAGAACTGTTTCTGACTCTGTTTCCCTCCCACTCCCTGTAGATGGAGGTCATGCGGGGGAGAAAATCCCTGGATTTCTACAGCGCTGCCACCCTGCTCACCGATTGGTCACCAGCATGGAGGCTGACATCATGAAGGTCCTGAGTCTGCTGCAGGCAGTGGCCTTGGTCCCTTTCTGAGCCAAAGAGCAGAGTGAAGCTGCAGCCAAACTGAAGGTAAATAACAGTCATGGCAGGGAGCAGGGAGAATCTGTACAGCTGAATCCATCCTCGAGGATCCATGCCATGGTTGGTGGGGGCAGCAGCAGGGGAATTAGATGACTGGGTGTTTTCTCTTATAGGAAGAAAAAAATGAAGGAAGGAGAGGACAGCATAGAGCTAGAAGGTAGGAAATAAATAGATGAGAGAGAGAGAAAAAAAGAGTACGGAAGAGTCAGAAAAGCGAGGTCTCCCATCAGTCACAGGTGTCACACTTTGTCTGATCTCGTGCGACTCCAGGCTTTGGATGGCATTTTTATGTCTGCTAGGTTTGTGTTGAATGAGTACCACATGGGAACCCACTGCTTATTAACAAAGACATGCCTGCATGGAGCTCACGAAGGGAGCACATGGCACGTTCTTGTCCTCTTCTCCCCGTTCCTGCTGAGAAGTGAGGGGTGCTCCCATGTGACGTTTCACTGCAGGACCAGAAGGGGCACAGGCGGATCTTTGCAATCTAGATGTGAGCACCTCTTAGAAGCACGTACCAGTTCCAGGAGAAATGTACTAACACTAAAAGCATATGTACTCATAATTTTCCAACTGGGACACAACTGAATTTTAATTTAGGTTCCTTAAAAGACACACAAAGGCCGGGCGCGGTGGCTCAAGCCTGTAATCCCAGCACTTCGGGAGGCCGAGGCGGGTGGATCACGAGGTCAAGAGATCGAGACCATCCTGGTCAGCATGGTGAAACCCCGTCTCTACTAAAAATACAAAACATTAGCTGGGCATGGTGGCGCGTGCCTGTAATCCCAGCTACTCAGGAGGCTGAGGCAGGAGAATTGCCTGAACCCAGGAGG